CTAACGACCCTTATGATTAAACATAGCCAACATACAGTTGGAAAAGGAACAACGACGTATTGAAGCATGTAAAAAACCTTAAGGGCGCGATCGTTTCCGAAAAAATCTAGGAAGTACTCAACCTGAAGTGAGAAGACAACCCACAGGTCGTGGCCCCCTGAACTATGACTCCGAAGCAATCACAGGGTGTGATATTATTACCTATATAAGGCAAAATTGGAACAAAATTACTGCGGGTTAGAATTACACTCAACCAATAAGTGAATAGGTAGACGGCAATTAGCAAAAAAGGTTACATCACTATAAGAAATGAATGAAAAAAAAAGAGACAGTCGGAAAAAAATCTGAAAAATTATATTTGGGCAATCACAGGGTGTGATATTATGACCTATATAAGGCATCATCGGAGCAAAATCACTGCAGCTTAGAATTATTCTCAACCAATCAGTAAATTGATAAGACGGCAATTCGTAAAAGTAGTTGCACCGTTTTTAAAAAAAATGAAGAAAAAAATTTAGATGTCGGAAGAAAGTTTTTGAAAATCTATGTTGGAAATGATTACCAAAAATTGCAGCCAACATTTTTAAATTGCTGCCAAAGTGCATTTGCAATCAAAAACGACCATCTACATAGCATTTTCAGTGAGAAAGTTGCAGCTTCAACTTAATAACGGAAAGAAAAACTTTGAAATTAACACATGGTGAAATTCAAATTATTGTCAGTCAATTTTCTTAGATCTAAGACTGCTTAGAACATGACCGACAACAGCGCATCATTCGCTGTGATGCTCACCTTAACGAGGTGCTCTAGATGGATTATACATCATCCTGTAATCTTTGAGTATGAGCGACAAGAAAGCTTCAGGATTTCAATCGGCAATGCAAAGAAAAGTATTCTTGCCATTCATTCTGAAAACTGAAAATATGCTTGCCATCCCTCAAAACTTCTTTTGCTCGTGAACTGAGTTAAAGATTAGATGTAGTGGATGTAACTCCACCTATGTCGTCTAGACAGACCGACATTTAGCCACGAGGGTCGATGAAAACCCTAAAGAAGACACCCCAGTAGGGCAACACTTGTTAGATTGTATTAAGGAGGTAGGCGGTTTTGCTGACTTGAAGTCAGAGATCATAGATCAAGCAGCTAACACTCATAAGCTACTCACGCTAGAGGCTTTGCATAATTGGAGGGATAAGCCGAGGATCAACACACGCGATGAATTCAGGAGCTAATTATTTTAGAAAATTATCACTTAAATTGTAGTTTACGTATAACATGGCTGAAAAATAAAAAACTGACTTGTCAGAATCAAAAACATTCAAAAGTCGAAACTTAATAACCATGAACGAACAAAAAAAAGAAAAAAAAAAGAAACTTACCGGAAAATGTTATTAATGATTACGTAATTTATTATGAAATTACAGTTGTTTAAATTTGATTGGTCGAAAAATTTTAGAGCATTTTTAGACATGTTTTTCAATTTTAAGATCTTTGATCGTTTTGTAATTATTTTATAATAAAATTTTTAATCCTGATGATGCACAAAATGTTCGAAAAAGTTTGTATTAACATTTTAAATTTCTTATAAAACTATTCCTGTTAGCTCCAACAAAACTGCTGCTATTGTCCTGCCAAAAATTATATAGAAGTTACTCGCCAAGAGAAAAAACTATTGATAGCCATCAACCATTAGCTTGTCATTGCTGCTGGACCCGATCGATTCAAGGTGCGGTGCAGCGCCATAAGCAATAAATTGAAACCCGCAGCTTTTCTTGTAAGGTTGGCATAAAGCTTAGTGAGTATCTTCAGAAAAGCCAAACCCGCAGTTCGAGAACGACAGTTGACGTCATCGAAGTGTCTTTCTGAGAAACAGACATCATTGACCCTACGGTTTTGGCTGTGCGCATTCTACAATCTCTATTTCAATTACAGTTAGTACAAGTATCAACCGTAGACGACGAATAAATGACAAAATGGAATGAATTTATTTGATGCAGTTATACTCGAGCTTTCGACGAGGAAAGCAGAGACTCAACCGGATTTGTCGTTGAATATATTATGAATTGTTGCATGTTGATTTTCGAAAGCAGCTTCAAAAAAAAACGTCGAGAACAGCTGGTCGATCTAACCAAACCTTTGGTCAGATCATAATC